CTCATCTGATTCTAAACTGACTCCTCAGCAATACAGGTGTACATGAAACATGCTCTCCAAAGCATTGACATTATTGGAAAACACTAAATATCAGGGCATTCCATCCCTCCATTGCCTCAGACTAGAGTGAATCAACTACATAAACAGATTTGCTGGAAAAAAGCCTCACCTTATCAGCTTATCCTCTAGCATTCTTATCCCACACTGAGGTGAAGCAAGATTCCACTTCTACCAGCTACAATACAATAACTTATTAACTGGTCTGAAAAGACTTTATTAGCATCATAGAATAGAAAATTATCAAGATGACTCTTCCCCAGATCAGCAGTATATACTCTTCATAGAGTCTTTCAGTACTCAATAACAGGTAAAAAATAATCTTAAAGTTTAAAAGGGCACAGACCTTCACTTGCTTCTAAATCAAATCAGAGCTCACAAAAATAGTAACCAACATCACTTATACTTACGTCTTTTTTCATCCATAACTTTAAAGCAGCAAGTAAAGCCTTCACTCCTTGCACTAAATAGCTTGGAGGCTGGAAACCATCTTCCCTTAGTTCTAAAAAGGATACAGATACCAATTTAGAAAACACACTAAGAGTGAAAACAACAGAATGATACCTACCCTTCAGCCAATAAAGTTGCCTTTATGCAACAACACAAAAAAGGCACAATTATACAAGCAAATGAAACACAACATCTTGTATTTGCGTGCATACTGTAACAAAAGCACCAACCCAATCCTAAAGTGATTCTGCACAAAATCATCTTTTTTTTTTTTAACTTATTCTTGCATGAATTGAGGGTCATTTACAACATACTCAAAGTCAATTAGAACAATACAGACCTAAAATACAGAATGAGAGAAAACATATTTGAAGAAATTTCTTTTTCACTTCTAGTGAAACTTCTATTTCACTCCAATACTTTAGAAGGATGTGGGGTGTATCTCTATAGTAGAATTCCTGTTGCTTATTCCCATACATACAGCAAATGGTTCACACTAGCACACCTCCACTCCCCAAACATTTTCTGTCACCCTTCCAAGCATCACAGTTCTCCCTCACACAGTTTACATCATTTTTCCTCCTAAAATCAAAGGAGGCAGGGAGTGGAAATCACTCTGTTATAGAAGCTGCTCTTCTTAAGAAAGCTGGTGCTCCCAAGTGATTGCAATTCCTTTTCAATTTTCTGTTTTCCATCATGGGGTAAAAAAAGAAGGGAAAAGACAAATCCTTCATTAAAGAGTCAAAACTAGTTTGCAACTTCTCACCATGTTCCTGACAAATATTTCCACTTCTCAGTAGGAAATGGACCAACACCAGAAATATTTGGCTCATTTTATTCCCTTAAAAGAATACACTAATTCTTATGGATAATGTATTAGACTGCTGGCAGAAAAAGGGAAGTTCTGTTACTAAACAGCTGTTCTTCCCTTGAAGATGCCTCCTACTTGCTAAAGGGTAGGAGAAGGAGTGGAAGGCCTTACAGGAATTCAAGTCTGGTTTCCCACCTTAAAGTTTCCTCTACTCACACAACAGCAGTATAATGTTCTCCATTATCAAGAGAGAGAGAGAGAGAGAAGAAAAAAAAAACAAACAAACAAAAAAAAAAAAACCAACAACAAACCCAGATATATGTATATCTCTTAAAACAAAACAAGGATTACCTTTCAATGTTTCCAGTAAGTTTTTGGCCACAAACCAACAGATGGCTTCAAAGAAAGGAAATTTGAAAAGATCCGGGGTTTTTAGCCTCTTCTCCATTTCATAACACCTGAATAAATAAAAACATTACAAAACACGAATGTTTTAATTATCAAATTCATTATTCAACTATGTAACCATTCAAATTGACACAATGTACAAAATAAAATAAAATAACCATGGCCATGATAAATAAAAGAAGTCAAGTACCACATAGTTAAATCCCAACAAGACCACAGAGAAGACTGAACTCAGGTCTCATCCAGGCTCTGACCTTATCAAGTTTGACTGCGTCACTTCTAAGAATAAAGTTGGACTTCATAAAACTAGGATACAAACCCAATGTGTGATCTTTTAATAGATGGAATTTTATCAGGATTCCACTGTAATAAATAAAAACAATATGTTTAGAAGACAGCTCTGCATCTTGGACAAAAACTAAATACAGCTGCCCTTAGAGCAATGCTGACTTGAGGATGCTCGTTTCAACGCAGTGTCTCACACCTGGGCTTGCTCAGTTTCACGTTACTCACTTTTACTAATCTCCAAAGTAGAGTTTTTCTTTCTTTTTTTTTTTCTTTTATTCACTTAAATTCTTGCATATCCTTCAGTTTGCTTTTGAAACAAACTTTGCAGAAGTGAAATAAAAGTATGTGCTTGAAACAGTCTAACTGAAAATGACACTATTGTCTGTTTGAGAGCCTGTACTGATTTCATCCTGGTTAAGAGCATGAGGAAAAATACCTATTAAAAGAATATCCTACTTATGGAGAAAAAGGTATAGGAAGAGCTGAAACTAACCTGAGCTGCATGCCAATATTGAGGTTGTGCAAAAAGTTTCCTCCAAAAGCCATACAATCCTGAGATGTGAGCACAGCGTGAATCCAGCCTGAAATGACAGATTCTGAAACTTAATACATGCATACAAATTATTCTAGGATTGTTTTTAAATACATGTGTAAGTAAAAATATTGTACTTGGAAATAATTTTTTATTTCCAAGTAATCAAATTTGTGTTCTGTGCTGGGAACAAGTAATCTAAATTTTAATAACATGGAATTTACAGTGTTTAAGAAATCTATTGGAACTGTAGTTGTGTGAAGGGGTCAAGAGCAGATTAAGACATCTTTCATGGGGAGGGTGGGGTGAGGAATGCAAGGCTGCCAGTGATTTTCAAGTAAAAATTCCCAAAAGTTTTCCCTCCAATCAATAAAAATAAGCAAGTCGGTAGAGGAAAAAGATAGTAAATAAATTATAAAGTCATAAAAATATAAATTATATTTTTTCAATATTTACATCTTGCTTACAGTAACTGAGCTGTTTGCACAATATAAATAAGTCATTTAGCAATACTGAAGTTTCTCATATAGGATTTCAGAAGTAGTTCCATTAAGTATTCTAAACACAGTCATCCAGAAATTATCATCAGTTTAAAACCCAGTCTAGGCACTCTGACTGTATCTACTTGTCACATAATTGAAATATTGTCCTTGTGAACTCCACTATTCAATACAGCAAAGCACAACCAACATTATGCTATCAATCTAGCCGATTACTACTGGATAATTTCAAGTAAGTACACAAAAGAACATATGATACTAGCTTCCCAATTAAAAATAGTTACCTTTAAAATTTATACAATGTAGCTTTCATGTAAATAAACTACAAATAGTTTCTTCTTTCCAGATTTTTTTTTTTTCTAATTTTTTTTACACATACAGGTGATCTTTTGACAAAAGATGATCTGGCCATACATTTGCAGATTATTTCATGGTTTGACTGAGTGTAAGCAAGATACACAAATCCAGGAAGCTCCCCAACTTGAGGCAACATCAGACCAAATCACAAGCAACTACGTATTGCAAAGTACCATTAAACCCATGCCCTAATTCAGTTAAGAACAACCAGTTCTAGCTGTTGTGGCAACACACGTAAGACCTGAAACCTAGCAACTACACTAAGTAACATGTCTACTGTGCAGCCTGGGAAGGAAGTTATCGAATGGTATATGAGAGAATGTTGAATTCAACAGTATGTGCAACCTAAGAGGCCTTCTTAATTAATATTTTGCATTGTTCAGTTTTACTTCTCTTCTTTGAGAAGTGCAGTGCAATGAAGATTGCCTTGTATTACCAGCTGCATTTTTCATTTGTTAACAAGGTTTCAATTTTTCACTCTTAGCATCATCATCACAGTAGATTAATACCTCTGACTCTCCAAGGAATATGTGTATTTCAATCCTTTAAACACACATCTCCCCAGACACTGACAAAACCAACAACAAAGCCTTGTCACTGTTGCATCAACACCAAGGATTTTTATGGTATACCTGTATCAACTAAAGGATTTAAATTTTTTACATTCCATCTTGATATTTTTATTCTGTAGTTTTGATCAAGGTCTATGCAATAAGGCAAGAAAATTTGGTGTAGACCACACAGAATTTCTGGAATAATATTTAAATAATTCTCAAGAGCCTCCCAGCAGGTGCTATTCATCTACATGCAAGATTAATTTTAAATCAGAAGTCTACTCTGAACACATTCCAGACATTATAAAATAATTATGACGTTCACTAGCATCAGTGCAAGCAGGAGCAGCAAAAGTGGTTTTCAGTAGAGATCAGGGTATTTTTTTTAATCAGTCTTACAGAATTTCTCATTTTTTAAACACCTGTCTTGAAACTTGGTTTTGGTTCTTGCACTATACTCCACCATATGTATATCAATATGTAGATGTGTGTATACACACATGTACATTAAAAAGCATCATTTTATCTGTACACACACAAATACAGATACATTAGAAATTATCATTTTATGATACTTTTATTTTTGGTCACATTATCGTGAGAACACAGAATGAGCTGATTACTTGGGAAGCAGTAACTATTTTCAAGATCTGAGTGTCACATTAAAGTTCTTCATTCTGTAATTCTGCATCCCATGTTCACAGACATATGACCTTACACTTAGATAAATGGAAAATTAATGTCATCTCTTGCCAAAAATACATGGTTTTAAAAAGCTCTGGGTGTTCAGAAATGTTAAGTGCATATATAGCTCCTTATCACGTAGTATTTATTCTGCACAAGCCATGAACTAGAACACTAAACACTAAACCTCACAGGTAGAGAACTGAGCTATGAGAAAAATGTAGTAGTCTGTCTAGGAAGTCCATGACAGAACAAGGTACTGAACATAATCCTCAAAGCTTATTCCAGAAGTAGAATCATGCACCATTTCCCTTTTATGTGTATTTAAAGCTTCCTCCCCCAAAAAAGGGAAGATAGTACCCAGTACAAATCTTTAATAATAAAATAATGAAAAGTATTTATATGGATGGGCTGGATAAGTGAAAATACAAGAAATTAACCGGCACTCACTTTAATAAATAAAACCATATTTTGACAATAAAGATATCTAAGTTTATGGTATTTGTGAGTTTGGAGGGATAGGGGTGGTGTGTTTTGTTTGGAGGATTTTTATGTGGTTTTTTTAATAGATAAAGAAGTTTAATTGCCTTAGGTGTTTTTAATTTCTTAAAAACATCCTGTAATTCATCAGATGCTATTAGTTGACAGGTACAAGAAATATTATTAAAGAAAATGAGAAAAGATTATGTCTCTGCATAATTTTTAAAGGAATCTGCTGAAATGAATTTATGAACTCTACAGTTTCATAAAACTACAAATATCCTTTTATTTTTAATAAAAGGAATTAACACATGAATTCAATTCTATATTCTCCCATTTTATTTAGGGACACTTTCATTTTGATTTAGAGCGCCTCCACAGGCTCCACTACAGTTTAGATTTCCTG